GCGCCTGCTTTCGCCGCGAGGAGGCCCAGGTGGAGCTGATCTCGGCCTATCGCAACCTCCTTTATGAGGCCGCGGAGCTCCCGGCGGGGGGGGGGAGGGGGCGGTGTGACACGGACGGTGCCACAGCGGACCGGCCGGGCCTGGCGGGGGTGGCGGATTGCGTTCGCCTGCCGGTGCTTTCCTGTGCCAGCGCCGGGCCGCGGTTTCGCCCGGCGCTGGCCAAACTCACCCAGCAGTCCCTCATCAAGGCCTATCATCGCCTGAGTGGGGAGGCCAAGGAGGCGTTGCTGCAAGCGGGGGACAAGGGGGTGCGGGTGGAGTTGTTCGTCCCGCCGTCGTGGGTGGGGGAGTTCAGCGCAACCTTTGCGGAGGAGGCCTGGGAGACGCCGCTGTCGGTGTTCGACCCCGGCCGAACCGCGCTCTACCCCGGGCTGCCGCCGCCGTCGACGCTGCTGGAGTGCGAGGGGTGGGTCGGAAAGCGCCCGGAGCTAATTGAGGCAGTTAAAACTGAAGGAAAGAGCCTCACGCGGGGGCCACACTTCAACCTCGACGGCAGCCTGATCCAAGAGGAGGAGGTGATGGCGCATGCACGTCTTTTTGGCGACCGTGAGGAGGAGCTGAAGCGAATCAAGGGCGAGCACCTGACAATGCAAGAGCAGTTAGGGGTGCCGACTTCACAGGCACTCTACGACGCGACTCCACTGAGCCCAGGTTTGCAAGAGGATACTTGACCTCCTTAGCGCAGACTTTCCTTTTTGTCGCTGTTACCTGTTATTATATCGTTTAGGGGCTTATATTTTTTAGAATTAAATATATTGGGGACGCCAAACGAAGGCCGATTATTTTTCACAACCTTGTGTAGACATCCCTTTAATTATCAAAAATATATATAAAATGGACTATTGGTTCTAGAACGAGCAAATAACTACTAAAGATTTTAAACTCACCCACGTTTATTGTATTAAATAAAGATAAATATTTACACTGAAGCTCTCAAAGTTTATCAAATTCTATATTCAAATAACAAGCCACCAAACAAAAGTAAATCTAAGCTTGAAAATGCGCATGAATTCTGAAAAGTTCGGTAACACCGGCCTTGTCCCGTTTGAGCAGATCCAAGGCTACATGCCAGGCAGAATTCCTGCATATAGCAACAAGCATGATCACTACTTTTCTGCCGAGCGTCACATCGAACGTAATATCTTTTTTGGCTTTAAGTACCAATGTGTGGAGTTCGCGCGGCGAGCTTTATACCTACGCAAGGGCCTCCTCCTGCCAAATGTCGATACCGCCTCCAATATTGTGCATCTGACCCATGTGCACGATGTACAGACTGCCCAGACCATTCCCCTGCGCTTCATTCCGAATGGTTCGCCCGAAAAACCCGTTGAGGACTCCCTTTTCATTTCGCCCGCGACGGAAAAAAACCCCTTCGGCCACGTCGGTGTGATCTCCGAAGTCGGCGATGACTACGTTGGTATCGCCGATCAGAATTGCGTCTTTTACAAATGGGAGGGTCCCTACGGCTATAAACTCAAGCTTACACACGAAAATGGGCTGTGGACAATCCATGATGATATTGGCGTGCTCGGTTTTGACATCCCTGCCGGGTGGGTAACTTTTCCCGGCGTGGCGAACCTCGAAGAGGGATCGGAACCGTTGCCCGTTCACGAGAGTCTGTGGTTTCCGAAACCCCCCGCGCTCTCCTTCGAACGAGTTTCCATCAACGCCAAGTCCAAAAAGTTTGATTGTCTTGATCTGAACAGTCCGGCAGAAAAGCTTTTTGTGGAGGAGTTTGGGATAGACGTCACGCGATCTTGTAAGTCTGAGACGAAGGTCAGCTACTACGATATGAATTCAGAATTGTACCTCCGCACCGTGGCCTACGCCAATCAGGTTCACGCCATCTTTTTAGAGGCCACCGGAATGGTTATCGCCGATGACGAGAAGCTCCGTTTATTTCACATTCCCGAGGAGTTTTGGCCTCAATTGCGCCACTCATGGGAGCATCATCGCGAATCCATCACTGGACGCTTTGATTTCGCCTTTAACTCGACACAAGGGCTCAAATGTTTTGAGTACAACGCGGATAGCGCCTCGACGCTGTTGGAGTGTGGGCGAATTCAGAAAAAGTGGAAGCAGTCGGTGGGGGTGGATCTATCCAACTCACGGAGCGCGGGCTATTGGATGGATCGCAATTTGCAAATGGCCTGGATGGAGTCGGGAGTGAAAGGCTGCGTGCACTTTTGCGTGGATAACGATCACGAGGAGATGTACACGGCCCTTTATTGCATGGAGGCCGCGAACGCGGTGGGGCTGAAAGGGAAACTCTGCGTGTTGTTTGACGAATTCCATTTTGACGATGCAGGCCGCATTGTTGACCATGAAGGGGTTGCCGTACGATATATATGGAAGACCTGGATGTGGGAGAGCGCGATTGCAGATTATTACGACGCCAAAAAGACCCGCGGCGAGAACTGGACGCCGCGCCCCGATGACAAAGTTCGCTTGTGCGATCTCTTGCTGGGGAAGGATTGGACTATTAAAGTCTTTGAGCCGATGTGGAAGCTCATTCCGAGCAATAAGGCCATTCTGCCCCTGATTTACCAGCTCTATCCGGAGCATCCCGCGATTCTTCGGGCGGCGTACGAGCTCACCGACGACTTACGACGCGCGGGGTATGCGAAAAAGCCCATTGTGGGCCGAGTGGGCCGCAATGTCACCCTTGCTAATACGGATGGCCACATCAAAGCGGCCTCAAGTGGAAATTATGGCGAGCGCGATATGATCTACCAAGAGCTTTTTAATATTCCGGAGCAGGATGGCTACTACGCGATTCTGGGGGTCTGGATCATCGGGGACATGCACGGCGGGATTGGGGTGAGGGAGGACAAAACGTTGATCACAGGGCTTGATAGCCCATTTGCGGCGGTTTGTCTGAACTTCGGCTCTTCCACTAATTCGAAAGACACCTCGCGCTCATCGGTGGTTGCGGAGGATGATTAATGATCCTTCCCTCAACCGTGTCAACGTCGCTGACTTTTTTTTTCTTATTAGAAAATATTTTCAGGGATAAATCTAAAAACTTTTTAATTTTGTTGCATTTATTTTATAAGCTTATTAAACCTTTATATGTTCTAGGTTGTCCCTCAAATTTATCATTATCTTACCCAATTTTTTTTGTTTTCATTTCTCTATTCTTTTCTTCAAGGGTAGTCGGTCAATTTAAGCCGTCGCTGCAACCTTGAAAATACGTGGGAAAGGATTCAGATGGAGGAAAATAATTTAATTTAAAGGAGTATAAGGTAAAGGTAAATAAACGCTTAGAATATTGCAGGGAAAATGAAAATTGCAATTGTATTAGCATAAAACTAAATACTTCTTCAGTATTTTGATTGTTTATTTTTAAAATTTATTAATGCAGGCCCTACTTCTCATCTCCGTTATTATTCCGTGTCTTTTCAAACCCTAACTGTTCTGGGACAGACAGAGAGGCCATCCTAGGACCTGAAGGAAGGAGAGTTCATGTGAATGAGAAATTTGTGCAGGAGGGGAACTGCAGAATATGAAAACAGGTAATCTGAAGAGGAGCTTCATCATCTTATTTGTATCTGCCTAGTTTAACATCCGTCTTTAATATATATCGGTTACTTCATGCACTATTTCTCATCTTCCAAAAAGATACATTTCAACTCTTTCGTTAATTGTTCGTGTGCCTTTAGTAACATATAAGGTAGCTTGGGTCATTATTACCATTACTTTTATTATATCTGTCGAATGTTTTTTGCCTAGCGACAGTTATATTTACCTGTTTATCCGAGTTTCTCTGATAATGGTAATAATGACTAATTACAGAGTGCAATGTTATCTTCGGGAGTTTACTTTTTGAGAATTATCCTGGTTCAAAAAAAATTATTTTCGTTCGAAATTTAGTCTATCTACGATGCTACCACTATTTTTTTCCCCCTGATTAGTTAATTAATTAAGCCATTTCATGGGCATAGCAACTATGCAGAAACTGTGGTTCTTTAATCCGCAACTAAATCCTATGTAAGAGCACTACACTGACAAAAAAAAAAAGGCCAACCATCTGTCTTCTAAATACTTCGTCTTTCATCGGTTTATATTTGCATCTGTTTACCTTAACGACCTACATCGTATTGTATTCTATTCTTTTATCTAAATTTATTGCCAACAAGTGTGTATGCCATACGAAATAGATGCGTTAATATTCCAAATTTAGTTGTATACCATTCCTGCTGTTGATTATTTCAATAACAACATGACCACCGCCATTTTGTTAGTTTTCCTTCCGAATGTGGGGTTTGTGAAGGCGATTCGTGTGTATTGCGAAATGAAAGATTCGTAAATCGAATAAACAACGGGGTTTGCGCAAAGGTTTTAGTGGGGTTTTCTTATCTACTAAGCGGGTATTGTCCTATAATCGGTGAAGGTCCCCTATTTGTGGTCTTCACCTTTTGAAATCGTTCCAGCTTTACTACCGAAGCTTAGCTCGGCTCACGGGATTTAAACATACCCCAAAGCCAATGTTTGTAGTTGACCAGACGATGCCTTTTTTAGACCTCCGAAGCTTTATTTATTTTGTCCAGGAGCGAGTTTTGTTATTTCGTTATTAGCGCGCCCCCCATCCCCCCCTCCTCCCTCCAAAAAAAAAGTTCAAGCTATCTAGGCCTGTAATTATAGCTAACACGTGAGGTATGGGGAGGAAAGAATTGCCACCTTGATAGCCCTTTTATCGTAATGAAGTGTTTTTTTTTTCAGTTCGATTGCTATTTTTTTAGGCTTTCTGCACGAAAGTGGTTTGTATGCGAAGGCTCACAGTTTATTGTTGTAAAATCTTAAGGTACGTTACGCTGAGGGTTGAATTATTATTATTATTAAGTTAAGCCGGGTTTATGCAGGTTATTGGGAGACTGCGGATAATCAAAGCGGGTGAAGGAGCTCTTGGATGAGTGCGATGGGTTAATACTGCGAGTGCCATCACGCAATACTTCCAGAAGGTATTCTACGGATTTAATCCCGTGTAAAACTTTAATTGCCAAGCCTATCGCGTGTGTGATCTGGTGGCATTAAAAGTTTAAACAGGGGCAATTTTTTTTTATTTGAAGGAGGTAGTGTGTGCTACCAGACAGGGTCGCGTCTATTATTTCTGTTATTGACTTCCTTTTGGGCAAATAAAAAGTGCATTAGCAAGGTCTTGAATCTTGTCAACTATATTTCTGTTCTATGAGTGGATAGATGGGAAAAGGATGTCATAGGCTATCGTGTTGATACGATAAATAGACACCTTTTATTATCTGTATTTTTTTAATCGTTAGTGATCTCAGCAAATTATGTTGTGTCCTCTGTGGAAAGAGGGAGATTTACTGATGTAGGTAATTAACAGCCATTCACGTTTTTGTTTCTGACTTTAGAGGCATCACTCGATGCTGTACTAATGCATTTTTACATACCATATCTATACACTAGTTATTACACAAGTGTGCATTATTTATTCAATATATTAGACTCCTATTTTTATGTATAGACACCTATTTCCTTCCCTCTCCTCAAGGTGTTCATGGTTTAACGGTATTACTAAACCAAACTCCTTTTCGGTGTCGTGTGTGATTTTACTTTTTCGTATGATTTTTTTTTCCAGAGCAGGTGATTCTCATCACCTAATAACCTATATTTGGCAGATTTTTTATTCTCTGGAGTATTACCAGGTCTTGTTTAGTTTTATTTAGTATTTTATGTTGTCTACTACCCTTCAGAGGTTTTCAGTTTGAATATCTTACTGACTTGCGACAGATAAAATGCACCTAAAAATACCCTGTGTAGGAACCCAATGGGAATTCGGTATTACCATGTGTTCTGTTTTAGCCCCATGTTATGCTTATTTTTTCCCCAACTTATGAAGCAATAGAGAATAGAAAAACACGCAATCAAACCAGGCGCCTTTTGTTTTCCTCTTTAAGATCCATCCCCCCCCTCCCCTCCTTTTCCTCCCCCCTCCTTCCCCTGAAAAAAGGCAAAATGCCCGCGGTAGCGACCTCATTTCAGCGTCATAGAAATCAATACATGGATGAAGAGAAAAAACTTGCCGAGATTGTTTCTGATGACTCTTTTACGCGGGTTTTTCAGTCCTGGTTGGATACGATGATTTCTCAGCTCGACTACCAATACGAAAGCTGCGAACGACAGCTGTCGGAGCTCCAACAATCCGTCAGCGTCCCCGCCGGTTCCTATTGGTGTAGTAAAACCATCATGCAGCATTGCAATTTAATTCTTTCGGAAAAGCGATTGGTCAAGAAGCGGCCGAACGCCCCTTCGAGCGATCCTTCGCGCGAAACCGAAGGGGATAGCAAACCAGATCCCAACGACAACAACCCGGAGGGCGAGGAGGAGCAGGCGAAGTTGCCCGATCTCGTACTTTTGGCCTCCTGTCTTCAGCAGATCAAAGCCAGCCATTTCATCACGCCGAAACAACGGGTCTTTCTGGAGAAGTTCGAGGCCCAGCTCACGACGGTGGAGTTCGAGCCGCGGGATTTGATTTTTATTCTAAATTCGCTCACGACGAAGCTCAAGGACGACGGCGCCACCCACGCCGTGTTTGAGGATCTGACGGCCCTGCAGAACACGATGGCGGAGCTCCTCCCGAGCGCGGCGCGGTGCGAGCAGCTGCTGGAGGCGAGCATCGCGAATGGGGAGATGGCCCTCGCGGAGGACATCTCCACGCGGCAGCTCGACACCTACGAGCAGATCCTCCGCCTGACGATGGATCAGTACCCGATTATCTCCCGCCACCACGTCGACGTCGCCGCGGACCACCGGAAGCGGCGGTGGGCGATTTTCCGCATGGCCGATCGGGACATCACGACGGTTCTGGAGAACAAACACCGCGCGATCGAGACCTGCGGCGATCACCTTTCGCGGATTCGCGAGCAGGTTCGGAACTACACCGACGACGACGTTCAGCAGCGCAAGCGCTACGAGTTGGACCGCGCGGAGTCGGACCGGTTTTTACAGCAAACCAAGGAAAAACAACAAGGGGTGTGGAATCGCATCTTCGGCGTCTTCGAGGAGCTCAAGAGCTGCCAGGGCGAGCTCGTCGGCCTGGCGCAGCAGCGCAAGGGCGAAATCCAGCGCCGCCTCGACGTCGAGGAGCGCGAGGCCGGGCGGCGAAGCGGGCATGAGGCCTTTCTCCGCGCCGCCGAGGCCCATTCTGCACACCTGAACGACACCATCGCGAACGCGACCGCCGCGCGGGATCTCGTGGCGGCCCTCAACGCGTTCGTCCTCGACGGCTGCGATAGTTTGACGGGGCGCTATGATAAGCACCAGGAGCTGCTCAACAGCCAACTCTCCGACCTTCAACTCCAGCACGCGGCGCGGTTTACCGATTACTACATCGCGGCGAGCCGCTTTATCTACCGCAAGGAGCGCAGCCTCGAGAAGCTGCAGGGCGAGATCGTCCAAAACGAGCAGCATCGCGAGCTCCTCTGCGAGGTCTTGGACCCTGCCGCGAAGGGCTTCGCCGAGGCCTTGGTGGTGCTCCGCGAGCGGCATCGCGCGCTCTGCGTGGAGTTGGAGGGATGGCGCGCGCGATTGAACGCGGCGGAAAAGGCAATGGCCCCGACCTGGCGGGCCTTCGAGCTCGCCGGCCGGGCTTACGTCCACCCCGCGGCTTTTGTGCGCGAGATGAACCTCAGCCGGTGGGCGAAAATGACGGATTACCGCGAGATCCTCCACATCAGCCGATGCCCGCAGGCCCGTCTGGTGGACGAGTCCCGCCACGAGTGCGCGGAGCTTCGGCGAATGATCGCCGCGATGGAGGAGACCGGCGCCCTCACCCGAGGCGGCGGCGACCGAAAGGAAAGGGGCGAAAAGGGAGACAACAACGACGACGGCGGGGGGACGTGGCGCTCGCGCGCCCGACAAGGGCCCTTTTCCTTACCCCCCGCCGCCGCCTTCCTCGCGGCCTCGCACGGGGGGAAGGGAGAGGGACTTCCCAGTCTTCTGCCGGCGGCCAGGGGCTCACACGAGGGCCATCTCACCCCCGCCAATATTCTTCCCCAAGGGGGATTTCTGCCCAATATCCCGCCGACGTCCTCGGGGAGTGCTTCGGTGGTCTCGTCGAAGTCGGATCGCGCGTTGAAGGGGGGCCCCGCGACCCACAAGACGGACCCCAAACGGAAACTCACCCGGGGCATTCAAGGGGGGGTTTTCAAGGCGCTCCATTCCTACCAATCCCGCGCACCGGACGAGCTGAACTTCGAACGAGGGGATTCCATCGTCTGCACGGGGCAAACTCTTGAGGAGGGATGGTTTAAGGGGATTTGCAATCAACGGACGGGGATATTCCCCATCAATTATGTCGATCTCGAGGCACCTCAGGGGTAGGGAGGGAGAGGGGGAGGGGGCAAGAGATCGAGGAGCGAAAAGTAAGATCAGCTTGTTAGAAGTTTAGGCTATTCACTCTTCTTTTTTTTTCTATACCGTGGATTTAGTTTGGTTATTCATTGCTTATTCTCTAAGAGTACCTACAAGGCTGCTATTGGTGGTGATGATGAGGATGGTTTCGTTGTTTGTGGAGTGTGGATTCGGTGGGACTCACCCCCTATTCGTCTTCTTCTATATTAACTCCATTTTTTTTTTTGATTATCAACAAAAATGCTCTAAAATTACTAGACAAGTATTTTTTCTATTGCCTTTTCGTACCAACATTTCATTCTGGCGGAATGGGCGTGTACCTAAAGTCATAATATGTAAAAGTATAAGATGTATTAGAAAATTTGGAAAAGCGATGTACACATTTTTGTTTGCTTGGTGCGCTTTTTTGCATAAACTCACTTAAAGTCAGTATTTCACTCCATATTGATCAGCGGTTGTGCTTTTTTTCTCCTGGTTAAACACTTATAAACCCGTTTAACTCTCGATCATTTTTTCCTTACATATCTTTCTTTTAATTTTCCTTATTTTTAACGTCTTCATAAGAATTAGGGAAGTAAAGCAAAGGATATATACATATTTTTATCCATTACCTTATTCACTTTCTAAAAGTGAGATTAGGAAGGAAATAAATACTCTATCAACTAGATATTTATTTCCTAAGGACCATTTACACTCTAAAATTTATATATAATTACACCAAAGTGTGATTTCAAGCGTTTCCACCATTTATCTGTTTTTTCTTTTCTGTACAACTATCTTTACTCATATTCTTATATCACGGCAATCTAGTTTTTCTAGGCAAGGAAGCTAATTAGCTGCACTAGGTGCAAGCAATAGCGAATTCTATATTTCAATATTCAACAAATTTTAGGCCTTACTTTTCACCTTTTAGAATCCTTTTTTTTTCATTTATCAAATTACAAGCATTTTCGTTTCATTACTGGCACCTATTTTCTACACAATTCTCAAGTACAAGGACTATTTAAATTACGAGGCAAAGTGTAAGGGAACGTGTGTAAATTTAGCAGCTTAATTTTTTCTTTACTGTCGTTTGTGTGAGTCAGAAACTTACTTGACCAAGAAGTGACCTACCTCGATTGTTAAGGAGTTTTTTTTTCTTGTTTAATCACTTATCACGAAAAGACGATAGTGATCATTTTATTGTCATACATATTCGTATTTACCTAACACTTTCAGGTCAACACTAGGTTCTTATAAATATATATATATATATATATATTGTCCGACATCGAATAGAATATATATAGAGAAATTTAGCAAATGGGCAATTCTATAATTACGGGATCGGCCGACCTCACACTAGACGACATCTACGGCATGTGGAAAGAGCAGAAGAAGCAGCGCGCGGTCCAGGCCAAAGGCCTTTGGCCCCTTCCCCCCGAGGTCGAGGAGCGCTTCCGCGGCATCACGAACCACCTCAAAGTCTTTCGGTTTTCCTTTCCTGCCCTTCTGTCGAACCCCCAAGGACGCGTTTCGCGGGCCGATCCGTCGCTTTCCCGGCCTTCGCGGGGCCTTTCGACCTCCTCGGGCAAACGATCCGGCAAGGCCTCTCCGGTGAGTGGAAAGGCCTCCCCTCGCCTGGTGGTGGAGCCTTTGGATGTGGGGAGCTCAAACCTGCGCATCCGCCGGACCGAGACCTACCTTTTGATCAATATTTGCCAGACCCTTCCCGGTTTCGAGGCCGCGGAAGGGGAAACGGGGGCGAAAGGGCCGGGGGAGGAGCTCCCTTCCCCTGTTTTCGCTAACCCCGCAAGGGATTTATCCTCGCATAGCTGGGCAGGAGGGATGTTGGAGCTTTTCACGCCCCGTGGCCTCGCGTCGTCTGTCTACAATCACCTGGCGAGCCCCACCGCGCCGTCGGTCGGGGGGGAGGGGGAGACGACGCGCGATGAGTTAGAGGGCCCCACGGGGAAGTTTACGTATAGCCTGCACGTCTTCAAAGGGGCCGACGCGCACCCACTCGGGCCCTGCGAGGCCGTTTCGCACGCGTTAAAATTGGATGCGTACTTTTCCGCAGATTTCGACGGCGGCCAGCAGCTACTTCAGCGGCTTTTCTTTAATTTCGGACGCGATCTGCCGCGGTATGAGCCGGGGTGGGGCAGCAGCAGCAGCAGCACCGCCACTCGAATTCAGTACACCAAAGCCTCCTTTTCTAACGCGAAACCTCGAAAGATCGCCGAGGAGTTGATCCATTGGCGGCCGTCGCTCTTTGGTAGTTTTAGCCCAACCGGCGGCGGGGGCGCGAAGGAGTTGTTCGATCCCAAGACGATCTGCGAGCTGAACGCCTTACTTTATGCGCTCCAGATCGTCCGAGGGTCGCCCCGGTACGACCCCGCCCTCCGCGATAGTTATCTTAAAGATGGGGCCATCCCATCGGATGGATTTTTTTGCCCGCCCTTGCCCTCGGCGCTGACGGCGAAACCGCGTCGGAAAGGGCATCCGGAGACTTCCAAATCCCCTCCCAAAGCCCCCCGTGTCCCATACCCACTTGAGATACCATGGCTAACGCTCGACAAGCTCCCGAACGCTCGCCCCGTGGGGGTTGGCAAGGCAACTTCACCGGCCAAACCCTCGAGCGAGCGCCCTGGTCTCGCGTCGAATCCGGGCTCGACTTCGCAGCCGATGTTGCCTTCGTTGTGGGGGAAAAAAGCCGAGGAGCAGGGCGGGGATCCGTACGGGAGTTCGTTCGGCCTGAATGAGTCCTCGGACTCCACGCGGACGCCACCGGCGCCGCGGTATGTCCGGCCACCCCGCATCACCACTCCCATTCCCCTCGCGGAGCGAATTCGCACGCGGTGTCGTTCGTCTTTGCACCTCTTTTCTTCGAAGTGGCAGGCGGCGGACCCCGGGACGGCGGAACCCCCCATTCCCCCTCTTTCGTTGAAAGGCACCTCCACGACCGGGGCGGCGGCCGTCGCGAAAGTAAATCTCGCCGACCTGGACGAAGGCGCCATCCGAACGGATAGCGATGACCGGCAAGATCGCGCCCGACGGCTTTGCCTCGCCGCCCCCGAGGCCAGCGAAGTCCTGCCGTGGTTGTTCGTCGGTGGCGAGGAGCCCGCGCGGAATCGCGCTTTACTTCTCAGCAAAGGCATCACGGCGGTGGTGAATACGGTGGCCTTTGCGATCCCCAGCCAGTTCACCGACGTCTTTTTATATCTTTCGCTTTGCACCAGCGACTCGCCGGAGGAGCCCATCACCTCGCTTTTCCCGCTCGTGAATCGCTTTATCGACGAGGAGCATTTCACGAACGGGGGGAAGGTTTTTATTCACTGCCAGCAGGGCGTCTCCCGGTCGTGTTCCTTTGTTATCGCGTATATTATGTGGTTTTACGGGATGTGCTACGACCGCGCGTATGAATTGGTCCATTTAAAGCGAGGCATCTGCAGCCCGAACGCGGGGTTTTATGTGAAGCTGCGGCTGTGGGAACAGCATTTGACGCGGCCAACCTTTAACCGGGGCTATGTCTATGCCCCCTACTCGAAGTGTTTCCCGCTTCCTTTTGTATTTCACTTTGCCCTGGATTGTAATCCTTCGTCGGCCTCAACGACTTCGACGGCGCCGTCTAACAACGGATCCCTTCCGCCTGGTACGCGAGCTAGCATTGAGGAGGAGAGCAAAGTCTTGGGCGGCTTCTCGCAGATCGTGAAGGCGGAGAATCCTTCGGTGGTGCTCGATAAACGGCTTTCGTACGGCTTTCTATTTGGCCATCATGATTCCTTGGCAGAGGGTCAATCTTCTGCGTCGTTGGATACCCTTTTTTATATTGGAAGCGAATGTGATCAGACCGTCGCGGCGCACGCGCGAGACGAGTGGGTTTCCTTTCTGTACTATAGTTTTTACACCTCAGGGGAATCGCGAAGCGTGAATAACCGGGGGGAGGACATCTGTTTTTCCCCGATTCCAGGTATTTCCATTGATTCCCTAAGGAACTCCCAGCCCAACCCTGGCGCCCCCATCACCAAGAACCACCTACGTAGCGTGCCGATTGTTAAAGATCTTTCGCGGCTTGAGAATCGACTGAGCACGTCTCTGTGGGGCGAACAGAAGGCCCCTGATGGGTCAAGCATTTTGGTTCGGATTCATAGCGAGCGGGATCCCCGCTGGGATGAGCTGCTTAACCAGCCGGGTTTAATTTTCGAATTCGCCTCGGCCTTGGGGCGATCCTCGAGGTTGCAGGTCGCGGCAGAGAGCCGAAAGCGGATTCGGGAGGAGGAGCTTCACCAAAATCGCACCTCCGGGGGCCGTTTTAGCACCAACGTCTTCGTCGCCGAACGCAATGCGAAATCGGCTCATCGTACCGGAAAGGAGGAGCCGGCGCCTTCGCGCTCTGCCGCCAACCTCGACGGCGCGATAGCGTCCTCGTCCTCCTCGCCGGGCCTTCGCGACGGCGATTCCCCCGCCCTTCAAAAGAAGACCCCGAACGGCCTGGCGGCCTCCCCCTTACCCTCCTCCAAGGTGAAAAATATCTCAGACCCCAACGCCACCCTCCTGGAGGAGCAAAATCACACCCAGGAGTTTAATATCGCTTTTCTACGCTACCCTTTCGACGTCCCCCCGATATTTACCGATCTCCCCACGCTCGAGGAACTCCAGGAGGATGAGTGCTGGGCGATCGCCGTCACCGGTAATTCGCTGATCCGCCCTAATGCGTTATATCTTTGGCTTGGGGAAAACTGCGGGTTCCCTCCTGAGGCCGTAATCGAGACTTTCAAGCTTCATTTGGTCGGGAATCCGAAGCTTGGCCTTAAAGAGGCGGTGAAGAACGGCCAGAAGGTCGAGGAAAGGCACACGATCCGCATCGGGGAGTTTGTGATGGAGGATGTCGTGGTCCAGCTGGTGTATCAAGGCGAGGAGCCTGACGAACTGGTTCTTTTCTTGTAGGACTTCTTTTACATTGTACTAGGGTTTATATTTAAGAAGACATTAACCTCCTGTGGAGGTGGTTTTTTTATATATTGTAAGCTTCATTTTGTACGCGTTTACCCCATTTATGGGGTACTCAATCTTGAAAGTGCGTTATAGACATGTTTTCTTCCCTTTCCTTGACGTAGTCAGTTTGGAAGTTGTTGCTAGAAGTAGTCTTTATGTGTGTCTCTTTCCATTTTGCTTGAGCCAAGGTAACACAGATGCTCAGATTATGTGAGGGTATATATTGGACCTGACGACTCCTTTTTTTTAAAAAATATGATTCACTATTGAACTAGGAGGTGTAAGAAGTCCCTTCATTTTCATATATGGCGTAGAGAATACCCCAGACACTAACTTTAATTTACTCTGGCTGTATTACCACTGCTCCCATTTCAGATCAGACATGCCATATCCTTATCCTTAAACCTAAAAGCACACCAATAAAACTCTTAAAAGGTGCAGCATAGAAACCAAAGGGGTTGAAAAATTTGAAAGCGGCGATGCTCAGAAGTACCAATCTGTGTTTTAGACGTCGTAGTGCTGGAATCATTGGACTTCCGAACGTCGGAAAGTCCACTCTTTTCAATGCCCTCACCTGCACCCAACTTGCTAAAACTGGTAATTTCCCTTTCTGCACTATCGACGCGAACATATCGAAAGTTCCGGTTCTAGATAAGCGTCTGCGCGCGTTAGCTTCCTTCACGGGTGCGAAGACTGTGATCGATGTTGAGGTTGATTTGGTGGATGTCGCCGGGCTAATTGAAGGAGCTTCAAAGGGTATTGGGATTGGCAATAAGTTCCTCGCGGATATTCGTCTCTGCTCAGTTCTGCTGCATATGGTGCGATGCTTTGAAAGCGCGCGGGACGGCTTCGGCACCCCAACGCCTCTGGAAGATACTAAGATTGTTCTCAATGAGCTGCTCCTTTCGGACTTGGAGGTGATGGAAAAAAAAATACACAAGGCTGGTAAAATGGGAAAAAGCTCTGAGGTGGCTTTTATGCGCCGTGTCGCGGCTGGACTCGAGAGTGGAATCCCCGCTAGGGATCTTCGAGGCCCATCTGCCACCTCCTTCGCGTGTGCTGTTGCGCGGCAAAAAAAAGTAACGCTAACCCCCGAAGAGGAAAGGTGGCTGAATAGTTATCAACTCTTTTCCGATAAGCCGATGATTTTCGTTTTAAATGTCGAAGAATCTAGCGTGAAAGAAGGCAACACCTTCTCTAGGACCGTTGAAGAGGCCTACGGAGCTGATCGAACATGTCGTATATCCGCCTCGTTTGAGGAGCAGCTGTCTCAAATGGATTCCCATCACGATCGGCTTCTTTTTCTGGAAGAATATGGTATCGACACCCCGTGCAGTGAGTTCCTTATAAAGAGGGCTTATGATCTCCTCCGTTTGCAATCTTTTTTCACGGTTGGGCCAGTTATGGCCCACGGTTGGACTGTTGCTTATGGTTCAAGTGCGCGCGAGGCGGCAGGTGAGATTCATTCTGATTTTGAAAAGCATTTCCTTTCTGCCAAAGTACTGCCATGGGATGTGTTCATTAAGAAGCCGAATTTGGAGTCTGCGGAGATGCAGATGCAGAAGGTGGATGCAACCTACAAGATGCGCGATGGAGACATAATGATTGTGAAACACGGCGCAGTGACATGATCGCTGAAGAGTGGATTTGTGTAGAGTCTGCACAGTTGCATTCAATCTGTGCATACCCCTTTTTCCTCCAAGAGAGAACCAAGTACCTGTGTTTTCCCCTTAAAAATTTTCGGCGAACAGCTCGCCTCTTATTATGATAATTTCTATACGAAAGTTAAACTGTTAGGAATGATTGAATCAATTATATCAAACCAAAATGATACTCACCTTATGTCCTTTCTATTTTTATAGATTTCGAAACTAACCTTTGTAGGACCCAACATATTAAAACATTATAAAACCTGAATTTAATCATCACAACCATCAAAGCGTCATTTAAGATCTAAAAGATCGTAATAGTAATAGCCCGTCCACACAGCTTGACGTTTCTTGAAGGTGTAGTTCACACGAGGTAAATCTATTGCCATACGCTCGACCTCCCCCCCCCTCCTGTTTTTTTCTTTTCCTTCTTAAAAGCCCTTTCTAGCCCAAGTCCACCTGTGCCAGTTCGAGCGTAACCGCCCACGCCTAAAGCCGAAGCCATCTTATTCACGAGTGTGGGGTTTCCCCGTAGCCCTTTTCTCGCAACCCCACTTGGGTCCATATCGTTGTCCCTCGTTCCTGTTACGGACGCATGTACTCACGTCACAGCCGGTTTGCCCTCCACCCTGCGTCAACGAAGGAAGTGAGGATGACCTCCGTCTTTTCACCGGACCTTCCCCGGCCGATCAGCGTGCGGGATCTCGCGTACGAGGACGCTTCCAGTGGGGTGCGGCTGGTTCGAAGTAGAACCCAGCCCATCTCCCACTCCCGCGCCATCCCGCACATAACCAACCCGCCATGCTTGGGAGGGGGAGAGGGGGGTCGCGGGATGAGGACTCGGAGCGAGATCCGCGTGGGCGCGCCGACGGCGGGCGCGGTCTACACCGCCACGGGCCGGTTGGCTGAGGCCCCGTCGTCGTGGCGCCGAAACTGGGCGAGGACCACGCCACAACCCGATTCCACATCGCTCGCGGCATGCAGCCTCGATGAGATGAACGAGGGTGAACTCTATACCTTCGCCTCACGCATGCAGGACGAGGCCAGACACGCACGTGGGCACATTGCACAGGCTTACGAACTGCGGGATCAATATATACAGGAGGTGGCACGGCTTAAGCAAGAGCTGCATAGTAAGTATTTACAAACCGCCGAGCTGGAACGAAACAGGGGAAAGTATGAGGATACCATTCAATCCCTTCGCGAGGATATTCAAAAGCTCCGCCGCGAGTTGGATGCTTCTGAAGGAAGAGAGCAGGTAATGCGGTTGCGTCTTGCCGCGGGTACATCGGTACCTTTCCCAACTCTGGCTTCTGGCTCAGATATACCTGATGGCTCAGGACAGTATGATTTCATAGTCAAATATTATCAAACTGAGCTCACCACAAAGAACCAGCAAATACAGCACTTGAAAGAACATATAGAGACGCTTGAAAAACAACTACAGAATGAACAGAGAATTCAAACACCAGAGAGTGTGTTCATCCCATCGAAGAGTCCAAGCAGAAGTGCTGCTAATGCTAACTCCGAGATGTATACCATTGGAACTGGTGATATTTTTTCCCGAAAAGTAGGTTTAGGAGAGAGTGCCGTACATGAACCCGGCATATGTTGGGATCCAAACGAACTACTTCGACAGATTTCACAGCTGGAAGCTACTAACTCGAAGCTGAGGCAGGACCTTGAGGAATCTGTGCAACGTCAAAGCACAATCCAGCTGGAAGCCGAGCGCAGCCGATCGGAACTTCAGGCGTCATCTCAGACTCGGATTAACAACCTTGAGGAGGAAGCTGAGCAACTCAGGACACTCAATATTTCTTTACAGCAGGAGGTGGATATGCTCACAATCACATTGGCAAATCAGGCCCCGCTCACACGAGGGGCATACGAAACTTTTCAAGATGAGAACGAGACCCTAAAAATTCGATTTAGCGATCTCGAAGCTAAATATCAATCTTTAGAACGTGAAAACCTTGTTTTAGCGGCGGCAGCGCTGGAGACCGACATGTTACGCGAAAGCCTAACAAAAGTTCGCCTTGAGCATAGAGACACCACGGAACAACTGAAGCTAAAGAACGAAAAATTACTTGAGCTTGTTTCTACCTTTGAGGAAGAAACAAAACTTTCTATGACAGCTAATAATTTACGAAAGACTCAAGTCGAAAGTTTTCATAAACAAATCGAGGAACTGACAAGTGAACTGAATGCACTACAAAGTCTCAATGAAAAAAAAGAAATAGAGATAGGTGCGGCTGAAGCGGCTAAAGTACAAAAAATGAATCAACTTGAAGCGAAACTAGTCGAATTGGAAGAAAAATGCGATAATGCAGAGAAGAAACTAAATAATACCTATATACAAATTGAGGATGAACGGAAAAGACGCAAAAAACAAGAAAGAGAGATGCTAAATCAAACAAAGCAGCATAAGCGCCTCACCCAAACCGTTGTT